GTGACACATGTCTGTCTGTCCCCGAGGGCTCTGCTGTGACACGTGTCAGTCTGTCTGTCTCCGAGGGCTCTGTGGTGACACGTGTCAGCCTTTCCCCGAGGGCTCTGCGGCCCAGCTGGGGGGGTTAGGGCAGCCCCGAGGGTCTCTCCCAAGGGGACACAGGCCAGGGGGGTTTGTCTGCAGCTCCTGTCTCTGCCAGTGCCCCCCAGATGGACAGACGGACAGGCCCACTGCTCACAGCAGCCAGGGGATGGACCTGGGAGGGAGGCAGGGACACAGGGGCTTCACTCGGGGGAGCAGCCACAGGGATATTCTTTGATGGAGCAAGAGGAAACAGCCTCCAGCTGTGACAGGGGAGGTTTAGGTTAGAAATTAGGAACAATTCCTTCCTGGAAAGGGCTGTCCAGCCCTGGCACAGCTGCCCAGGGAAGGGGGGGCACCCCCATCCCTGGAGGGATTTAACAGCCCTGTGGATGTGGCACTTAAGGACAGGGGTTAGTGGTGGCCTTGGCAGCGCTGGGGGAGCGGATGGACTCGATGCTCCCAGAGGCCTTTTCCAACCCGGATCCCTCCCTGATCCTGTGACTCCCAGCACAGGGAGCAGCCGCCGTACCCTGGAAGGAGCCGTGTGTCCGCACGTCGTGCAGGAAGAAGCCGGTGGTGAGGACCAGGAGGACGAGCAGCAGCTGGGACCAGGGGAAGCCCCGGCCCTTCATCTTGCGCAGCAGCTCCTGGGCGGGAGGACGAGGCCCTGTCACCGTCACTGCCCTCCAGCAGCACCCGCCCCCGGCCTCCCAGTGGGGACCAGTGTCATCTGCCGGGCAGCTGGGAGGGTGGACAGGGGCCAGCACATCTGTCCCGTGCGTGCCCCGCCGTGGGGCCCTGGCCCTGCACGTGCCAGCAGCGGGAGGGGACGTTCACAGCCCCAGCACGGAGCCCAAATCCAGCCAGGGACACCGGCCCGTCGCCCACTGCCCTCCCCTCACCTTGCAGGCGGCGTCACAGGCGGCCACGTCCTGGCCCCCTCCGGCCCCTCTGCCCACCAGCTCCTCGTTGGTCACTTTGAAGGAGCGAACGGTTTCCTGCAGCGACTGACGCACCTCGGGGACGGCAGGAGCTGCGTCAGGAGACCCCCAGCCCCTCGCAGACCCCCTGAGCTGCCGTGGCAGGGCAGTCCCTGCAGCAGCACGGGGACATTATCCCACCCCAGGACCTCCTACCTTCTTGCTACAGCTCTCCCAGGACTCCAGGAGGTGGTTCAGCAGCAAACTGGAGGAGGGGGAGAAGAGAACAAGGGGCTTGGGCAGGAGCTCCCAGAAGGAATTTAGGAGTCCCAAAGGCTCTGTGGGTGGGTGCTGGGCCCACACGGAGCTGTGGCATGGACCGACCTGGACTGAGCGAGGTGCTTGGTGTAGAGCTGCCTCCAGACGCTGAAGCTCAGCGGGTCCAGGCTCAGGCACTGGCTCAGGGAGGTCAGGAGCTGGGGAGGGGACACGGCTGGTTGTGATACCCAAGCACACCAAACACCCTCTGCCGCCCCAGGCAGTGCCCCGGCACAGCCTCCCACACCCAGGGCACGAAACTCAACCTTGGCATCCCTGCCCGTGGCAGGAAGTGGAACTGGACGGTCACTACGGTCCCTTCCCACCCAAACCACCCCGTGACCCAACGATTCCCAGCCCCTGGGCACGGGTGGCAGGACCCCTGCCCCTGCCATCGCCATCCTCCACGGCAGCACCAAACCCAGCCCGTGCCCCCCTGTGCAGGGCTCACCTCCTCCTTCATGGCGGGTGGGCAGGCGGGCGTGGCTCGGGACAGGAAGGAGGGGAAGTAGGTGTGCAGGGCTGTCTCGGGCCGGGCGCCGAACGCCAGCACCTTCAGGCGGGGGTAGAGGCGCCGCAGCTGCTCCTGCAGGCTGGGGGAGAGCAGGGGCTGCCCAGGGGCACGGGGGGGGACAGAGGGCAGCAGGGCCCACCCCGTGGCACAGCCACGCTGGGGGATGAGGTGCCTGGATGGATCAGCGTACCCGGGTGACAGCGAGTTGTTGGGCATGAAGGCGAAGTCCAGGAGCGGGAAGAAATCCTTGGGGCCGATCATGCCGAAGCCTTTGGTGAGGTTGGGGTGCATCCTGCAGGAGAGCAGAGCCCTGAGCTGCTGCGGGGGCCGGCGAGGGGGCAACGTTACCCGGTGGGGACATGGGGGGGTCACTCACATCAGCAGCCGGTCCAGGTAGGACACGGCGTACGGGGAGAGGGACTTGATGCCGAGCACCGGCAGCATCACGTTGAGCCACACTGTGGGGAGAGGTGGGAGGGGTCCAGCTGGGCTGGGCTGGCCCTGCACCGGGACAACCCACCCAAACCACCCAGCAGATCCCCCGGGAAGGGCTCCAGGGAAGCTGTGCTGCAGGGGAGCAGCGGAGCAGCACACTCCCCGTCCTTCCAAGCAGGATGGCTCCTCCCAGCATCCAGCCATTCCAGCATCCAGCTGCTCTCCAGATCCCAAAGGTCTTTCCCAACCTTTTCCCACCCCAGAGCAGCGCCAGTAGCGGGAGCAGAGGCGCCCTGGCAGTGCCAGGGAGGGGGATCCCACCCGCTGCCCCCCAGCTCTCACCTTTGAGGCCCTCGTGGAGGTCGGAGAACCCGGCCTGTCCCAGTGCCCAGAGCACGGTCAGGCACTTGGCCGGCCGGTTCTGGTGGGAGCGCAGCACCTCCAGGTACTGCGGGAGGAGGGGACATGTCAGTGGGGAAGAACCACAGCCCACCCCGCCCCAGTGAGCCCGGAGCCACACAGGACTGTGGTGGCCACCCCGGGCCCTGGAGTGACCTCCAGAGCAGGGCAGGGCCCCTGGGATGGACTCAGAGCTCCAGTGAGGCCAGGGACCGCTCTGGGGGGACAGGGGGAACCCCAAACCCCAGCCCAGGGGGTGCAGCCCTGCTGAGGAGGGCAGGCAGAAGGCACTGGGGTGCCGGTCCCTCTGCGTGGGGAGGACGGGGAGGCAGAAGGGCTTCGTGCACAGGACAACCCAGACCACTCCCAAAGGAATTCCGATGGACAGGGATGCTCCAGGGCACCCCCAGGGTGGGAGGAGGAGGGTTTGCAGCACCCACAAACCCGGGTGACCCCAGCTCACCTTGCCCAGGTTGGTGGTGGCGATCCGGGGCCTGTCCAGGAGCAGTGCCTGGATGCAGATCCTGTATCCATGCAGTGACTCCCCTGGAATGGAGAGGGGGGGGTCCTGCTCAGCCATGGCCACCTCGGGGCTCTCCCTCACAGCCCAGGGCACTTCCCAGGGCTCGTTTTTCCCCCATGCTCCCTGTGAGATCAACCTGGTGACAGCCAAGCCTCTTCCCCAGGGACATCCCAATACAGCTCCCAAAGCAAAGCCCCACCTTGGCTGCTCCCTAAGGACTGTTTCTTGCTATTCTTGATGCTCTGGACAGCAACAAGTCCCCGGGCAGGAACAGCCCCTCACCACACACCGCTGGGCAGGAGGCGTCACCCCTCCCCTTCCCCATGGAGGAATTCCAAAGAGCTTCCAAACAGGCGAGGGGGGATCAGCAGCCCCCCAGGGTCAGAAGAGGGAGCCTGGTGCTCACCCGGGGCCTTGTCCAGCTCCTGCAGCATGGTGTAGATGCAGTGGTCGAAGAAGAGCTCCAGCACCCCCGACGCCCTCCCCAGCAGGCCCCGGATGATGCTCCTCAGCTCCTTGCTCGCCAGGCTGTACGGATAGTCTGGGGTGAGACGAGGGAGGGAGGAAGGAGTTTGGTGAGACCCCGTTCTGTGGAGTTCCAGCAGCTGGAGGAGCTGGCCCGGCACAGGGAGCGCCTCATCCTCAGCCCCCGGCAGCACCCGGCTCCTCCTCAGGGATTGTGGTCCAGAGGAAGCTAATCCAGCCCCGAGGGATGGCTCCCTGTTAGACACCAACAGTGCAGGATGGACACGGGCCTGAAGAAGGTGTTTTGCTCCTTTCCCCCTCCCCATCCCGAGTGGGGACCACCAGATCACATGGGGCAGGGAAATCCAGCCCCAACATCCCTCTGGATACAAGAGAGTGGATTCCCAAACTCCACGGCAGCAGGGAGAGGTCCCCACGGGGAAGGGGTGACTGGGGAAGCCTCCTGTTTGCCACAGTTCCACTGTGTGTGTGGCCAAGGGGAGCTCGTTGTGGGGACAGCCCAGAACGAAGCAATTCCGTTAATTAAGGACTGTGGCCCCGCCCCTTCCCGGCCAGCAGCAGGACACAGGACATGGACAAAGGACATGGACACAGGACACGGACACGGGACACGGACACGGGACACGGGACACGGGACACAAGACACGGGACACAGGACACGGGACACAGGACACGGGACACAGGACATGGACACAGGACACGGACACAGGACACGGACACAGGACATGGACACAGGACATGGACACAGGACATGGGACACAGGACACGGACCGTGGGGGTGCTGGCTCAGCACGGGGTCGCTCCGGGGCGCCTGCAGTTTGTAGTTGAGGTACCCGGCCAGGTCCTTCACCCACACCGAGGGGTTCTCAGGGAACACACTCCGGCTCTTCTCCAGCTCCTTCTGCAGATCCGCCAGGTCCAGCTGGAAGGGACACACGGACAGAGTCAGCCCGGGATGGACGGGACTGGGCAAAAAGCAGGGGAAGGGAAAGTCAGCTCCGGCTCCTACGGGAGCGCGGGGCCTCCATCCTGGGAACAACGCCCTTCCTGCCCGGAAAACCCCAGCTGCTGGGGCTCCCAAGGATCGCCCCGGGCAGCCGGCTCTGTGCCAGTGCCAAGGAGCCCGTTGGCACACCATGGCACACACCAGGGCTCACTCACAGCTGCAGCTGGGCAAGGATCAGCCTGGGGCGATTCTGGGCACGGCTGGTCCGTGTGGGCACTGCCAAAAGCTCCACACCCGGAGTCCTCCGGGGAGGAAACAACCAGATCCACCCGATGGACAACACAGCAGTGCCAAACCAGGAGCGCAGCAGCAGCTCCTGTGCCCTCCAGCCCCCCCTGCTACCCAGACACGCTCACTCCCTGCTGGTGCACCCGGATTATCCATGGGCTCAGAGCAGTGGATCTGTCAGGGATCTGTCAGGGATCTGTCAGGGCACGCCGCAGGGCTCAGACTCTGGGCGAGGTTTTCCAGAGCCCAACGTTCTCCCTGTGAGCAGATTCCCACTGCCAGGGCTCGGCAGAGTGAGCTGGGCGCCCCCGGGGCAGGTTTGGCTCAGCCCCACCTTTCAAAAGGAATTTGACACAAAGCAGCTGCTGCCACGGCAGGAAACAAAACCCAAAACCCCCATCAGTGACCTGGCAGAGCCTCGTGGTGTCTCGAACCCAGAGTACCAGGACAGCCCTGGCTCTGCTGCCCTCCCAGGGAACAAGGGAACCATGCAGGGTCCTGCACTCTGGGGAGCAGAGGGAACCCCCGTGCAGGGGGGGAGCAGAAGTCCCAGGATGGCAGGGGAGGAGCCCAGTGGGCAATGCCGTGGGGGGCCCTGCCAGGCGCTGTCCCCACGACATTGTCACCCCAACAAAGCCCATCTGGGGTCAGTTCTGGAGCCTGCTGTGCTTGAGACGAGTGGGACAGACACTGACAGGTTCCCAGATCCGGCCAGAGCAGCTCCCAGGGCCCCACCGGTGAGACAGGGAGGATGTTCCAGCCACCACGAGGCTTCCTCAGGGTTCCTCCCAGACGCAGACAGGGAGTGGGTGAGAAGAGGAACCAGAAATTCCCTTCCAGCCGCCTCCCGCTGCTCCTCCCAGCTGGCCCAAGAGGGGATGAACCCGTGCCCATGCCCGAGGCTGAACCGGGTCAGGGCCCTGCTCTCCGTGTGCCCCCTCCTGTCAGATCAAACGGCACCCACGGGCCGGGAACAGCGGCCCCCGGCATTCCAGCGGGTCAGGGCCCGGCCGGGCACACTCACAGCTCGCAGGGCCTCCTCCAGCGAGCGGCTCCTGCCCGCCTTGGTGCCGGTGGCATTGCCCGACGGCTTCTTCCCGCTCTTGCCCGGGTGCTGCTTCCGCGGCGGCGGCTCCGGGGCTGCGGCCGGGGGCACCTGCTCCTTGTTCTGCTTCCGCAGCGCCCGCTCGAAGCCCAGCTGGAAGATGGTGCTGGAGGTGGCGATGGGAGCTGGGGGGGCGGGAGAGGGCAGGGGTGGCCGAGGGCACGGTGACACGGGGACGGAGCCCGGCACGACGGACAAACGGGGGGGGGACCCCCACCCAGGGCCCCGCGCTGCCCACGGAGGCCCACGGCATCTCCCGAGACCCCACCGCCCCAGCGGACAGCCCCGGACCCCCGGGGGACCCTCGCCTGACCCACGTGAAACCACCCAACCCCGGCAGAACCACAGGGGACCCCCCGCATTCCCCCCAGGACCGCCCCGCATCCGCTCCCCGGGACCCACCGGGGACCCCCCC